AAAAAAAAAAAAAAAAAAGAGTTATAGAATTTCAGGAAGAAGTTTACGTGGCTTTGTAATCAACATATTGCCACAGCTTTATTGTTTTTAGTAACAAAAAAATACTTCATTTAAATGAAGGAAACATGTCATTCCAAATGCATATTTAGATGCAATTTGAAAGACTCCAAATTGACTTTTATATTTCAAAGGACTGGGATTCTTTTATTCCTTTTGAAGAATAACATGGATACATTTTCTCATCCTGGTGTGTTCAGAGTCTCAACAGCACAGCTAGGAATGACGTCAGCACATTTCATAGTTTAACAGATGCCCTGCTGTCCTACATCAGACACTTTCAACATTTAAATGAGGAATGCTACTACAATGCTGTGAAATTTGTATTGTTACCAGTCTTTGTCTGTATGAGTTTATTTTAACGTAGAATTCCTAAAAAATATTGTAAAATCTTAGCAATAGTCCATATTCATTACTTGGTGATGCCCTACTGAATGGATGCATCATTTTGTTTCTGATGTATCTTATCCCTTACTACTTTTTGTCTAATTCAAACTGCTCACATATTCATAGCATTATAAGCACAGCAAAAGTTACAGTATCTATCAACAATAAAAAAGGCTGCAAAATGTGTTTAAGGTACACTTCACTTTGATTTATGTGATACACACAGTTCTGGAGCTGTGAGACTTTTACTTTGAACGTACTGCAGTTTTACACTCCTACCACTCTCTCTGGGACTGATCCAAATCCCGTTTCTTCAATGAGCTTTGGATCAGATCTAGACGTGCAGAACTCAGAAGTAATTTTGACTCTCTGGACGTAATGCAGATTGCTATATAGAAAATAAACACTGTATGCTCTCTCCTGTGGAAAATATATATTTGTTCTTTCTTGTTTTGCTCTTCTTGCAAGTTAAATGTAGGTCGTTCAGACCGAAGGTATACAGTTGCTCTTTACGTATAGAGAAATTTAACACTTCTACAGGGCGTGAGACCAAACACTGAGCAACTGTAATCACTTGAGAAATGTAATAGCTGTGTGCTGTGTCTTATGGCTATTATGAAATGGAACTTATACCTAAAAATGAGGAAAACAGTTAGCTTTCCCCATTTATGGAGCTATGCCACAGTTATGACATAATTCATAGCCAGACAGAAAGTTCCAGTGGTATCCATAGACATTTCATAACTCAGTGTAGTGGAAAACTGATATTGAAGAAAGGCTTTTGCCAAGAAAAGTTATTCATACACAAGCTTCCTTCTCATGACAGCTTCCCCACTACACTGCGGAGCAATGCTGGAACTCTGCCTTTGGACCAGCACTTTCTACACCCACGCCAAAGGTTTATGTCCTGAGATGAGGTGCTTCTGGTCCCCTGTGCTCTCCTCCTTATCCTTACTACCTTATTACCCCATAGCTTTGTGCAGAGAATTTTCTACTTGTTTTTCTGCAATAAGTTCATAAATGGTAGATCTTCAGGATGTTTTCTTCATGACTGCAAGAATTTAATGATCATCTGGGGCTTGGGTGCATTTTTCAACTTCCCTTATTCTTAAACAGCTGCAGTTATCAGCAAAAAAAAGTAATTTGGACCATCCATTTTTCTTTCCAGGTCCAGAAAAAGGCAAAAAAGAAAAGAATAAACTAGGGAAAAACCTATGAGCAGAATCCTTACTTTTTACTGCTAAAAGCAAAAGCAACAAAGCAAAAAAACCCAAAATACCAACCAAACAAAAACCCCACGGTTTGCTCCCTATACAAATATGACTTACTTCTGGTATGCAGGAATCTAGAAGCATATCCAGAAAATCTTGCAGAGGCTTTCCTCAATATAAGAACATTGGCAACCATGTATACTGTGTATTTTGTATACATTGGATGTATTTATCCTTACCTTTGGCTTAATTTCCTGTCCTCAGAAATTTCTTAGAATAGACTAAGCCTCAGATGTCTTAGTAATCTCCAAACTCCCTGCAGTTGCAGTGTGACCCTTTACAGAGGTGAACACTATGTGTAGAATAACTTAATATAAATCAGAAGAGTATGCCTGAGATAGCTTTTATATTATATCCGGAATGCTATATAAAATAGGTACTCTTTAAACTTTTCTCAAAATTTGCATCGTTCCACTGGTCTGATGTGCTGATCAGAATACATCTCACCAAAGACATTAAAAAAATGGGCTGTATCAGCTTGTATATGCAGCACTGCCAGAGCTGCTATAAGCCTGCTGCCACTATCCCAGGAAATCACTGCAGGCAGAGTCCCTCTCCTGCCCTTCATGCCCTGGCACTTGTAGGTAAAGATGGCCTCATAGTTCACCTTCAGAGACCCAAGGTACCCTTGGAGGAACGCCATTTTGTTACCGGGGAGACCCCATCAGCCCAAATACAAGGTGGTAAATAACATGTCTCTCCTTGCTGTATTTCTATTAATGTTGTTGTACATTCAAGATTGGAAGAAGGGTTTCCCCTGAGTCTGTGCTCCTCCAACTCTGAACTCATGCTAAGACTGAGCTTCCCACGTGGAAGCACTGCAAGACCTTTGCAATCCTCCTCCTAAAGCTTGGGCATTACTGGCATCTAACAATATGACCAAGACATATTAAAACCTACATAGTTTCAAGTCTAAGATACATTTTTCCTTTCGTGAGGTCCTAAAAACTGAAGCAGACACATACCTCTTCTATGGAACATTTATTATTTTTAATTTAATTGCTTGACTTAAGCATATTCACCTGTAAATAATTGATATGGTTATTAAATATTGTTTAATAAAAAATATCAAGCATTATATATTTAGCAATTTGTTTTGATTCTTTTTACAGAATCTAGTTATTATTGTAATTGTTCAAATAAGATATGAGTCAGGCTGTAGAGGCCCTACTAGATGCTTTATTATTTAAATACGTTGTGAGTCATATTACTGTTAGTATGAGATATGTTTTCATAAAGACAGGAATTACTCACAGTCACAGAACCAAGAAGTCCAGTATACAAGTCCATTATCACAGCAAAATGTAGAACGGCATAGCAATTAAGATAAGCTGGTACACTTGGATTGAAGGGAACTTCTTTTCCAGTGATCTGTAATAAAGCAAAAGAGATAACAGCCTTCAACAGTGACCTGCTCCAGCCTGTTATTCCTTAGTATCCTTTATGCTTACAATATAAAACATTAAGGGGCCTAAATAACTGCACAAAGATAATCAACTATCAAATTTATATACTCCCTAGTGTGAGACAGAGTTTAACTCTGTGTGTGCGTGTATGTTCACAGCTAAAACAAAAAGAGAAATTACCATACTCTATAGAATAATTTTGAAAATCTCTTTAGGAAATGAATAATGAAAAGATAAATAAAATTTATTTTTTTCCCCTCAAATAAAAAGAAAAACACACAGCTAAAACATTCATTTCCTTCAGTTTCTGTTCCCATTTCAACTTCCCTATGCTTTATGACTGCTAATTTGCTAATTTAAAATAGCATGTGTAGAGTTTTTAACATTGATCCAGTAGCATTAAGAGGTCCAAGTAAATTACACAAGACTGAAAGCCTGTGCATGTTCTATTTACCACTGGGATTTCCTCAGGAAGGCCAAGTCTAGGTTTGCCTGGTCCCCAGCCTGGCCCTTTGAATATGACAGAAAGCTTATTGCAGAATCCAGGTGTGGCCCAAAACGTGTTCCAAATATGAGCCAAGGGACGTAACTGGAAAAAAAAAAAAAAAAGAACAAGTAATTTTTCATTGTTAGTAAAATAAAATTTAATAAAACATTATATTTTATTCATTTTTAGCTCTTAAGTAAATGATTTTTTGAAGTCTGTAAAGAGAATAAATTGTGAATAGATGAAGACAGTCAGAAGTTCAGAAAACCTGACTGAATAGGCAGGAGCCATATCAAGCCCTTGGTTTATGGTGAGGATTACAATGACTCCTGCCTGGAGGAAAATCTGTCTCTTCTGTAATCAATTCAGAGTATTTAGCAGTATGTTGCATAGCTATATTTATGGTAGTTTTTTAGAATTTCATTACTGGACCTTGACATGACATACTCTCAATAACTAAATTCCTTAGTGCCTGATTGGAGTAGATATAATTGCCCAGGCTGTGGCCACCCTTCTGCCTTCCAGCCCAGCCACACCTGTGGCAGAATTCCTCATTCTTTCACTGAATTTCACTGAATTTTTAGAGTTGGAAGGGACCAACTGAGACGCCTCTTTGGGCGAACAGTCATGAAAAGCCAACAGGAGCTTCAACACTCCTCAGTCCCTGAGGTTTTCACAGAGAATTTTTATCCAGCTTAAGTGAAGCCTGGAACAATAAATCTAAGAAGCACCACACTGAGCACCTTTTTTCTTTTTCTTTTTTTTTTTTTTTTAATACAAAAACCTATATTCAACCTGTTCTGGAGGTTTTGTTGAGGCCATGATAGCTGCTATATAATGCTGTCAACACAAATCATTCTGGAGTACCTTGAATATTGAACATGCAGAGGAGATAAAAGAAGTAATTATTACACCATGGGGTCACTTACAAAATAGCAATATTTAGAGAAGACAAACAGATGAAATATATATTTTTGTCTGTGCTTCACTGCATATTGCTCTGCATACAGCACAACAGGCATCACTTATTCCAATCCCTGCTATATCTCTGTTGTAATTAGTTGTTAATTTTACTGTATTGTATTTCCATGATGACAACAAGCTCTGCATATGCTCAGTGCGGGGAGCAGAAATAATTGTTGTGTAATTGTAACTGTTTGTAAATTTTGAAGACATTTTAGATAATTGACTGCGGTAATCCAAGGATGGCCTCATCTGTGCCTAAGAGAGGAGTTTCTTTCAAACACAAGTGCCCGTTGAAGATACCAAAGTCAGTAATACAAACCTGCAGCATGATGGGATCAAATGAATTTACTGGATGTGTTAAGCCATATACAACTTTTGCATCTTCTGCCTCAAATGTTCCTGATGGAAGAAGAAAAAAAGAATAGTCAACAATTAAATTCAAAAGTATACATATTTTTGTCACACTAACTAAATATGAGAGAGAATGCCTTTTTTTACTTACCAAATATCCTGTCCCAGATAATGAGAGTGCCACCATAATTTTTGTCAATGCAGTAAGGATTTCTACCTATAATAAAAATGAGCTTTGGTATCAGTAATTACATATACAAGAATACACACAACTGAATTACGGAGGGAAATCTTCATTATTAGCATCAATTTATAATCTAAAAATAATTTTAAGGGATAGCTAACCTACCACTTTTTATACGTCTATAAAGTTTCTTTTTCTCTTACTAGGCTTATTGATCTCTTTCTACTCAGATTCAAACACAGAAATCAAACATATCATACCCAAAATTTCTGTGAAATAAAAGGATTCATCTGGACAGTAAATTCAGTTCAAAATATGTTTATAAAGACCAATTTAAAAAGCAAACAAAAAGCAGTTTCACCAGTTTATACCTAAGAAAATATATGCTAAATACATTTATGCACAATCATCTCATTAATGGGTTTCAGCTGTCTCTATCTTCTATGCCATATGTCTGATCCTGCCTTCCTTGTTATTTACTTCATTGTGAGGAAAACCTGATCCTTCTCTCTGTTTTCTTGGAAACGTGTTTGTATACAAACTGTCCTAGCAAAAGTATGAGTAAAGAAACATTGATTACAGATGCCCAAATCTGCAGAGATTGTCTGGAGCAAATGTACAACACTTGGTAACCTCCAGAATGATTCTGCTTAACTCCGATCAGGATCAGAGGATTAGTCTGGATTTACAGCAGAGCAAATAAGAGCAGAGTGTCTCCCTCCAGGATTACCAGTACTCGTGCAAATTTTAAGGATTAGACACTTACAGCACCACAGTCTTTTTAAAAAGCCTACACAGTGCCATAAACACTTTACACATGGAGGATATAATAAATATTAATAACATCCTCTGAACATATAACGGCATTTGAGTCTGTTTCAAATTATTTTGTTCTTCAACTCCCCTATTACTTTTTTACTTGTTATCTCTGCACACTGAATGAAGCAAGGTCATCTATGAAATCCACTTCTATTCCTCAGACACGTTTGTGACATTTTTCAGTGTGCAGTAGAGTTAATAAAGCAATTTACATTTGCAGGATGGTCTTGAATGTGTCTGAATATTGATGAAAAGTCAGTCATCATGTACTTCTCTAAAGTCAGATTTTTCAATAATTCAGAGAGCTGAAACAAAATTCCACTAAAAAGTTTAACAGTTCTTCTAAAAAACAACCACGTCTTTTCGTACATTCAGTGCTTGAATTTGAATGCAAAGGCATGTTAGTGTTTGACAAGTTGATGGTGTTTTAGTAGTCAGGGAAAGATATTCATATTTACAAACATTGAATTGTTTTGTTCAAAGTCTTCACAGTATTTCCTGTTATCAAGGAAATTTCTGCTCAATAATTAATAAAAAAATTTGAAAATTACATTTAAGTTATTTTAAAAATCTTTTCAAAATACTACAAAATTTTGAAGTGAACAAGGATTACTTTTGAAGTAATGATAAAAACTAAAATCCTCCTGTAAAACTAATTTTACAGTACAATTTTAGTAATTTATTATTGTGATACAAATAGTCACCGTGAGGAAAAGACATGCTGATGAATAAGAGGTTACAGTTTTAGCTTACCATGATGAACTCTGTGATGACTGGGAGTATTAAGAATCCACTCCAGGGGCCCAAGTTTGGTGACAACCTTAAGAAAAGTAATGTTTCAATGAATTTGAAAATACTGAATAAAAAATCAAGAAGACAGAGGGAAAAGAGGGGGAGGCAATATATAAAGAGGATGTTAATCTTAAGGAGAACTGCATAAAAAGATGGGAATGCATTTTTATTTTTTTTTACGAACCATTTCACTGCATTACCGTTACAAGAATTTTCATGAAAAAAAGTGAAATTTAGTAAAATTCAAGTTAGAAATGAAGTTTTTGTTTTGATCCAGCAGCACATTTTCATCTTATTTTTATTATCAGTTCATGATTCCATTCGGACCACTTCTCTTACATTTTTTACCCGTATCCATTGGCACTGGTTGGGATCCAGCATAGCTGTAAGATCCCAGTTATGTGAATGTTAGATCAGCAAACGGCTGGCACTGATCCAGAAACAAGTACTGACTGACAAACAAATACTCCTTCCTCCTTCAGTGCCTTTGACTACTTGTTCTTTCTGTCAATATCCTTCTTTTGCCCCAGCACAAATGCAGTAACACAACAAACCTGATTCAGGAACTGATGCAAGTTAAAACTAATTTTTGTTTTGGTTTTCTAAATTAGTTTAACTGGATCAGTTCCTGAATCTGATCCAACACATGGTCACAAATACACTGGCATGAGTCAGAGGCATGAAAAAAGTTGAACAGCATAAATTCATAGCGGAGTTGTGATCTAAGGCAAGGATTCAACAGCACAGAAAATCCAGCCTTCATCATTTTAGCACCAGACCAAAAATGACAGAAAGCATTGATTACCATAAACTCACCCTAACGATTCAAACTTTGCCAGAAAATGCTGATGTACCAGCAGGGCTTATGCTAAATTAGGTACTCTCCTATATCATAGAGCCAGAGGAAGGGCAGCATTAACTTCAAATTTGTGCTTTGGTTAGCTCAACAGAAGTGTGTGGATACCCAAACACAGTAAACACTGCTTAATCCCAAACACAAAACCATCAATCATGAATAGATAAAATCACTGGATGACCAAAAAGGATTTTTGTCCAAAATATATTCTAAAATGGTATTTATTCACTATGTCTGATTATGACCATAATGTCTTGCAATTAAAAGAGGAGGGAGCAGCTAAATAAAAATGTTTAGACTATAAGAAACAAACCGCAGAACCTATCACTTTGTCTTTGCAGTACTTAATTTGCAAATTTAATACTCGTATTGCAGAAATGGGCGATCTGTAATATAATAATAGAGATAATATTAGCAAACAACACATTAAGTAGAGAGTCAGACAGTCGTTACTCATGAGGACAGGCTCATTCATCTAAATAACTAAACAAACAAGGATTTTTATTCAGATTTTATTTAGAATAAAGTCCTAAAATATACCAGTTCCATTTCATTTAATTCACACTTGTGCAAGTGAAAATAGATGTGGACTCAAAATTAGACACAGGACATTCTTCAGATATATTTAATTTTTTATAAATCAGGGAAATATCACAATAAAAGGATTGAATACTTTTTCTTCATGTTTGTCTTTAAAACAGCTAAAAGAATGAATAAGTAAAACATTTCTGTAATTAAAGTAGTATAGAAATAAGCAAATTCTTCAGATAGAGAGAACTGTAACATTTGGAGCTTCTGTCTCAAAATCCTGCACACAATTGACTGGAAAAGCAGAATACTGGGACAAGTTTGTTTTGTTTAACTTGGAAGCCAAGGACAACATAAGTAGGACCATTTGTCTTTCTCAGTTCTCCCTCAAAAAAAAAAAAAAAAGTTTAATCCTGAAACAACCACCTAAAGGTGAGAAACGATTCATTATTTATGCTAGTGCCATTTCCCACCTTTCTCAAGCAGAAAATCCCACTGTTTTAAGCTATGTGAGATGTGACTGCTAAATTATTTTAATCCAAGTCAAATGTCTGGGACTGAACTGCAGGTCAGCACCTGAGAGTGCAGTGATTTATCTATTTGACCACACCTAACTTTAATACACTTGGTTTTAATGTATTTTTAGCTCAGTGTTTTAACAATTTTTGTAAAAATAAACCAAATATGTGCTATGAGAGCAGGGAATCACTAAGGAACAGCAGTCTTCATTTTTAGCCTACAGGTGGATTATAATAAAATCTCTTTAGAATGAATGCTTTCAAGGCTTCAATATACAGCTGATTAAATTCATGTTTTAAAATAAAAAATCATCCTTTTGAAAGTCCATTTAATACACCAGTGTGCTAAAGTAGAACTTTGTGTCTTGAGGCTCCCTAAGGACCTCAGGAACCTACGTAAGATTTTAAACAAATACTTGTGACTAATCCGAGAGAAATTATTTTCTTTGGAAAATGAAACCCCTCTTATCCTTTAAAATAGTCTTTTTTGGGGTGATGACATTTACAAATTTGCTGAAATATCTTCTCTGCAGCATCATTAGTGATTGATGGCTGAGCCTACTTTGATTCATCATTCAGCAAAGGTTACCTCCATCGCAAAGGCATAATAGCTACATGCTGATGGAAATATCATCTGAGATAACAATTATAACCACATGACTTTTAAGCACAGAGGTGGTACAGAACTCTGTACCTGACCAAGCAAAAATCCAGCATGCTGAAATTAGCAATCCAGAAATCAACACTTTGGCTACAACACATCAAAAACATTTTTTCTCCAGATATTCAAAAAGGTACAGGGCGCTATTTCTAGAAATTTTCTTTGCTATCAGTAAGTTTACTCCTATATACTCAGCATGTTTCCAAATCAGAAATAACACGTTGTCAGTGGAAAACTTTTGGTGCCAAAAATTTTATAAATATTTTATAATTGTATATTTTATAAATATATCCATATACTATTCAAACAAAGAGAAACCTATCACCTCTGGAAAGCTGAATTTGAAGGCTCCTGCAGCACCACATGGCAAAGAATGTAATTATTTTGTTGAATTTTTCTGTATTCTACGATCTTAGTGTGGGCAAAACTCCTACGAGCAGATCTTTCATCAAAGTAAATTCTCAAAGCAAGGATAGTAAGACAATTTTTGCCAGGGAAGGTGCTGACCCTGTCATGTCAGGCTGAAGGGAACTTACTGGAATCACAGTGAAAGGAGTGAAGGTTGTAGGAACTGAGTCGTAACAAAATTTAATGTGGTTTAACAGCAGCCCACGTTCAAAACTATGCCTGCCAGCAACGGAGTGGAGAAAGGTAGCGGCAGGTACCCTGCTTACCTATCTACCTTTCAACTGTCAATCTACCCTCATTTATGTATCTTTACTGTGGCCAGATATTTTTCTTAGAGAACAGCAAGTGCAAAGGGCCAGGAATTGCTCCCGGCAGCAGTCGCAACCACTCACCATAATACATACACCGTGAGGTCTCAGTCACTCAAGACAGCAAACTATTTTCAGCTTAAAATAGCTTTGTATTCAAAAAATTACTTTTTATATTAAGATATTTCACAATTTTCACATTCCAGGAAAAAAATAATTAAAAATTTACAAAATACATGTGATACGAATATCAGAATAGCTCAGTTTTTGTGGCTTGTAATCAGGGTTTTCATAAAAATAGAAAAAACTTTCTGCTATTATGACTTTAATACGATGTAGAAAGTTTTGTTTTAAACCTTTTTGTTGGAAAGTAGTTTCAAAATTAAGAAAAAATAAAAATAGTGGAAATGTCATTATTCCATGTTGTACTTCAAGCCCTACTTCATGTTATTGGAAGGAGAGTCTGCTTGTGAATATAGAATATTTTTTTTCTTTATGTCATCATCTTGCAGTGATTTTGGCAATACAGAAAAATAGCTACCAATGCCCTAAAAGTTGAAATACCCCAACTGTTGTCCAGCAATGAATGACATTATCTGTATTTTGCCCAATATGGTTGGGGGCTTTATGCTTGGCTTTTTTTCCCTGATACAGATACCTGCTGTTGAAAATCAATTCCTGTCTTCAGTTTTTCCTCCCTCAATTAACACATCCTCTGTACCTCAACTCCCATGCCAGTGACCCACAAATGAACTGCAGCATTCCAGCAAAAATCTCTTCCTGTTTGCTTTGTTTATTTTTTAATATCTCATAGCCACAAAAATAATTTTTCACTTGCCAAAACCCTTACAAATTGACTCAATAAACTACCTACGAATCAGATACACGGGTATCTTATGTATACCAGTTATAAAAGCTTTGTCAGGTTTATCCAAAAACTTGTTTTCCTTTGTGCTTTCTTTTTTTTTTTTTTTTTAAACAAACAACATATTCTCTCCTTTGTACTTGGGCATCGCTGAATAATAAATTACTGACAACACTTGAAGCAATTCCACAAGCAGTTTAATAAATAAAGCTGGCTAAAAGCTGCATGCTGAGAAACGGCTTCCATACATTACTGAATAAAACATGCTGGAAGTGAAATCTTCATGTATAATGAGAACTAATTTTTTTTTTTTCCCCTATAATGGCAGTTCCTATATAAAGATGTTTCCTCTGTGACAGCAATCCCTAGCCTGAAGGAAAAGAACACTATGCAATATCTCTTGCGGCATGTAAGCACCTCCGTTTGCGGTCTCCGAGTTTGTCAGCACCAAGGGAAATCTTTATTGCCTGGTACCTGCACCACTTCAATGTAGTTCTTGTTTAAATAATGAGAAAAAATCGTGACATGAAATCCAAGGGAAACCTTACATCTTGTGTAACAACTCCTCCTGTCACCACTACGACATGAATCTTTACTTAACTCTGTTTCAACATGAAAGTTAGGAAGGAATGTCGACTGAGCAGAGCAGGCAACGTTACGGGAAAACCATTCGTACATAAGAAGTTTGGGGTTTTTTTACTTTGAGTATAAGAAAAGCTGTTTGTAGCACAGCATAACTTTCAATATCATAGTGTTACTGATCTGCAGGACAGGAGAGGGTAAATTCATCCCTGGAGCATCGCTAAGGAGCACTCTGAACTTAACTTTGGATTTTCTGTTAGAGTAGTTGGTAGCAAAGCACACATTCTTATTGATTTCCTCAT